AACTACATTCAAAAAGTATCTTATAAGATTACATTTATGAAATAGTTTCTAAAATGACGCGATAATAAATAAAAGACATATTATCACTATTATACTTATGATAATGGCAATCTTGATTTTTCGCTGTAAGATAATATACTCATTATAACATCATCCTATCCAAAATAACTGAGCATCCAAATATTTATAATACCTTTCTATATCTGTGACTTCTCTGTTCTGACTTTCTGAGTTGAACACGTCCGCCGTCGATGTTATCCGTGGTTTTATTGGCAAAATATTCTATATTATTAATTTGTTCCCCCTAGAAAAAGATTTTAAATGTATATATGTAAATATTTTCTAAGTTCACGTTTTTTAATAATGCTACATAATTCATAAGATATAATTTTGTTACCAACAGCTTACACTCACCTGTTTTTCGACTAGAAATGCTATTTCTGTAAACATATCTCTGATTTCTGTGAGAGATTTTTCCAATTTTAGAACATTATTATGTCTACTTGTTATATCTGATAATTGTCGCCTAGCTATCTTACTATCTTCTAAAATCTGCATATAATTAATCAGATATTTGATACGAATAAAAAGATTTGTAATAAATATTATTGAAATAGTAAATTCGTATTTACATTATCGACAAATAAGCTAGTTTCTTGAGCATCGAGCATATGATCCAATTCCGCGCTAGTAACTTGTCGCCTTACTATTCAACAAACAGTTTAATTAATAAATAATGTATATATACGCTATATTATATACAATTTGTTTAATTAGTCTCTTATAATTTAAACTTAATAATTATAACAATATAATATTAAGGATTTGTAAATATAAATATTATGTGAATATATATGTATCTTGATTTCTTGAAAACATACGTAGTGAACGTTGTTGCTGCAAGAGTAAGAGGCACTTATCATGGTATTTCAGTAACGAGGCATTGTAATCGTCCATAATATCAGAAAACATTTGCAGCATAGTTGTATATTGCAACGTTCTAATTCTCGTGTATGCATCGTATACAGGTTCATCTTGTGCTACAGTCAAATCGTCAATGGCAATGATACCTTTTCTCATATCTATAAAGAATGCATAAGTTATAAGTAGAACTAATAAATAAGAATAAATAAATATTAACACACATCTAAATTGAATATATTGCATGGATAAATGCAGTAGACTTATTATAACCAAAACAATAAAATTAATAAGAAAAAATTCACAGACAATTAAGAGTCAACGCGGTAATTGGTGCGTACAAAATTCAAACGCATTAATAATTAATTAAACATCCATATAATGTAATCAATCATAACACAATGTTTATGTATTATGATTGATTACATAGTTCAACTATTCGTTATTGTTTTTTTAGCAGTAAATTTAAATAAAATAAATAAGTAATCATAAGATCAGAATTGTACATAAATACACAAATTTGTTAATTCTCATTGATAAACATATTTAACTATAGAAAATTTTATGTGCATTAGACAATTTCTTATTTTAATTGATTATATAATAGCAGTTATATAATTATTTTAGTATTATAAATATGTATATTAATATTAAAATTAATTACATTAGTAATTAATATAAACAAATATTAATCTATAAAATATCATAATTGTAATACATTTCTGAAGTTAAAATCTATTTATATAGATGTGTGCTTATAATATAAATATAGAAACAAGTTAAATCGTGAAATCTTCAATATATTTTATTGCGTTTTTAAGTAAAATATGTATTTTATAATTTGAAATACTTGCTTTCCACTTTTATACTCACAAATATGCATCAGTGCGCACAGTGCACACTGCGCACAGTATATATGTACATATGTCCAGAATTTTGTGTAGTGCAATCAAACAATATAGCTATTCAAATGGGGTTTAGGCTAATTTCTACCAATGTAGAAATTTCAATCTCGAGATAATTTACTCTTTTTCTAGCTCTTAAAACTAGAGGAAGATAAAATAAGTTAATCTACATCATCTACATTGTGTTAGAAATAGACATTATGCAGCTGATTGGTCAGATTGGTTATTCAATTTCCCGCTCGTATATGGACGATAAACACTGTTGATCGTTGGCGCATTCCGCAACGGCGATCGAAATGTATTGTAATAAATTCTTCACGAAGGTAATTCTCGCTGGTCATTTGTATGAAAGCAGGACCGTAAAATCATTATCGATACGCTTGCAGATGATGATAACCTGAAACCCTGCCGATTTATCTGTTGCGCTATCGTGACGATAAGTTAAGGTTATATTTATGTCCGCGGGGACCGCGATCACGAGGCAACACAATTGATAGTGACTGCGTTTTGAAATCGGCACAGAGTCATGAAGTCGCTGCGTGTGTTTCATAATTTCAAGCTGGACATTCTCGACGAGAGTTGGATCAAATCTGTCTGGGACGCCGAGTTCGTCGTCTATGACGAGCCGTCCGACGAGTGTCTCGAGTACCTGGAGAGCGACGACGTGAAGCGGCTGCTGCACGAGTCCCGCATTGAGCTGAAGGCATGGCTTGTCGCGAACGAGCATGAGACTCCTGAATTCTCGTGGCAGGCCTTGATGATGCTGAACATCAATATGCGTGGTTTGCTTGCTATGCTGGGTTACATAATGAAGACGGGCCAGCAAGAGACGGACAAAGACGCTAGGCAGGCCTGTCTGGAAGCCACAAGTTTGTATCTTATGTTCCTCACGATACCTGGCAGCAACGCTTTCAGAGTTTACCATCCAAACTTGTACCAGAAAGCGATTGAGACATTGAAAATGTCAGAGAGCTTATTCTCCTCCGTTAGAAGTAATAAAGGGGTAAATATGACAAATTCGGGTATCGACGATGAATTGTCGTTCTGTTCCAGTCTGTTGCATTCCGAGAGATCGAGACTCACGCGAGAATTAGACAGGATTATTTCTGATCTCGTTACAATGTTAAAATCATTTCGCTTTAAAGAACATACCGAGTCCTTGGATATTACAATACGCATACTGTTAAATATCACAAGACAAGAAATGTATATCAAGTCTCATGACAATTCTGGAATAACGTCTTTATCTCAGAATGCATTTGCAGCTCTGCAAGAGCTATGCAGTAGCAATCACGGTACTGTAGGTTTAACTATAACGTTAATAGCGCAATACATGTTGCCTGATCTGTTATTTCATCACGTAAATGCCCAACCGAAATCTATAACCATTGTACACGAAGCGGCTATATATTTTCTAAAAAATTTATCAACGATTCACGAGCAGGAAACCATGCAGGGAATCGTCACTTTAATACAACAATTGATGGTAAACTGTCCAGAAAGATTAGAAGGCCGTCAAAAGCAAGCGGCTGTTATAATAAAACTGTTGAATATATGTAACGAAGATATGGTTCTCACTATTTTTAAAGACATAGTATTATTCTCACATAATAGTAAGATATCTTGTAGATTATTCGCGCAGGAAATTGTAGGAAAGCTCTTGACAGAATCTTCTCTATTGAACAACAACTTAAATAAAAACGTCAAGATGAAAAAAAGAAGGATTTCGATAGCTATTGTATTGTCTCGCTGTATAGATCGCTCTGCTTTAGTGAGAGGAAGAGCTATGGCCACGCTTGCTTCGTTCTCCGATTGCAATGACGACGCCGACAAGGCAATTTTTAAAAGTATATTCGAAGCTTCAGTCTCATCAAATAAAACGTTTCCCATGCTCGATGACCTAAAAGAAGCGTTGTTGGAGGATGTTGATCTGCTACCAGGCTCGACCGCTTTAATTGCAATGTTGCTGGACAGAATCAACGACGAGCGCGCACTGGTGCGACGGAGTGCTTTGAAGATCTCGAGAAACCTATCCATCATGTTCCCATCGCTAGTAAGTAAAATGATGCACGTAATAAGCGATCGTTGCAGAGATTCCACCTTGACTGTGCGCCAATTTGCCGTGCACGTTCTATCCGAGATTTTGCAGGAGTTCCCTCACAATTCAAGTCTTCTCGACGAATGGATACAGGCTGTTGTACCGCAGATATACGATATCGAAGCAAAAGTACAAGAGAAAGTGCTGGAATGTCTGGGAAACGTGTTAATAAATAGAATAACGAGCGCCAGTAAGTATATTCCGAATGCTGCGAATAGCTTGCCATGGAGAATTCTGGATAGATTGAGTAACCTGAGAATGAGGAAACATCTGTCGAAAGCTTGTAGTTTGTGGGTGAAGAACGGCGTTATTACCAAGTCTGTGATATCGAATTTGCAATCGCACATCGGTACAGATAATATTATAGGTGCGTGGATACTGTTAGCCGCTCTAGCTGAGAATATGAAAATTCCGAATATAGATAAATATATCGCGGATTATAAGGAAGTTATTCGAAAGAATGATTTCCACGCCAGTTTAGTTTTACACGTTTTGAGACATGTTTGGTCCATCTTGAATCATGATTGCCTCGAGGATCTCTATCAGCATCTTTACAAATGTATTTGCCACTTTGAAATCAATTTCAACTTAATCAGCATCTGTCTGGATATCTTGAATAGTATCTTACGATATTTACATATCGACCAGAGCAGCCACGTGATAGAATCGGATATGGTGGAACTGATGAAATTGTCGGAGATGGAGATTCAAGATTTGTTAAAGGAAAACAGAAGTTGTACGCAAGACACAGTGAAAATCAGAGCTGTATTTACACTGAGTCACGCATCGCTTTTCTGCACCAACAAGATTTCGTCGTCAACTTTACGAATTTTTGAACGATTACTGTTGCAATGGGAATCGCTACCAGATACAGTGAAAGAAATAAAGGATCTACAGGCGTCCGCGGTAGTCCTTCTCTGTCAGCAAGCGCTGAGAGATCGCGAAGTCGCGAAAAAAGTCACACCGATACTCGGTAACGTAATGCGTCAGGAAACGAATTCGAATTCATTGATAAAAACATCAGTGAAGATAAACGCTGCGAAAGCGCTAGCCGATATCTGCGTGAGATTTACTGCTCTTGTGGAACCGTATCTTCCGGACTTATGCATCAGCATGAAGGATCCGAATCCAGCCGTACGAGAAGCTATAGTGGTGATATTTATTGAGTTATTGGTGGAAGATTTTATAAAGATGAAGGGACCATTTTTCTTTCACATATTGACGATGCTGTCGGATACAAATAGCATGATACGCGAGTTAACGACCTTCCTAGTGGAAGAGAGACTTTTAATGAAGAACAAGACTTTGATTTCTCAGCAGTTTCTGGAGAGCATATATCACTACAACAATTGCCGTTCCCGGAAAGCGTACTGCGGACACAGAATGCTCGAACAAGAGATGAAGGTTCTAACTCTGCCTGGAAGAACGAATCAAGAGAAACGTAACGTTATCTACGAATTTATGTTGGAACATCTGGACATGTCCGCCAAGTCTGAACTCGTTGTGAAACTGACCAAGTATGTACTTCACGAGTTATGCGATGAGAATTCTATCGACGTTACAACCGAGGAAGGTGCATGCGTCTTGAGAGATGCAGTGTTCATACTCAACAATAATCGTTTGCAATTATCTCCTGGTGAAAGACATAAAGATGATACGGAGCTTGATGAAACAAGCTCGACTCCCTCAAGTACACCTAACAACGCTTTGAATGTCATTATAACGGCATTGAAAAAACATAATTTAGATATTTTATTACCTACGTTAATCACGCTTAAGAAGAAATTAATTACGTTGAAGTCCCCCTTGGAGGAAGATGTGGACAGATTGTTATTCAAGATTTACTCGGAATATGAGAAAGAGCAGCTGGTCGATTTATTAGATGAATATCCTGAATTAGAAAAAGAAATGGATCGTTATCAACGGTATGTATGTCAGTTTATAAAAATGACTACATTATTTTATTCTAATATATAATAAAATCATAAAGTTCTTGCGCATTTTGATTTTCTACAAAAGATAAAAATTAGCTTTGACTTAATATTAACGATTATGAAAGAGATGTATTGAAGTTTGTATATCTTTGTATGAAATGTTTTTTTTTTTAATAATTTATTTATCAGAAATATATACTATATAAATATATATGTTAATGTAATTATGTAATATTTTAGGAGACTAAAAGATAAAATTAATTCAGAAAACGATGACGGTAAAAGCAGTTCGCCCAGTATAAGTAGCAAGGATTCACTAGCAGATGTACGTAAGCGAACACCCCGAGTTTTACTTCAGCGTATTTCACCCTCGACACATACATCTGGTAACGAGTTAATTACAAGTCCGGTGCATCTGGAAAGATTGTTGCTACAAACCCCACCTCCAGAGCCGAGTTTTAGTACTAGCACGCCTACATTGACGCAAAGTCCAAAATCATATTCTAGCGATTTTCCTGCTAAAAGAAAAAGACCGAACGAACGAGAAATATCACCGAATATTTCTCGTAAAAATCTAAAAGTCAGCGATGAATGAACTGATCAATATGTAATGCCGATTTTGATCTCACTTTCAAACATCATGTCTACGGAATCAATGTACAAATTTACCTACCTCCTAACTTTCGCTGCACGTGAAAAACCGTCTGCGAAATCGTACACGTGCGAGTCTCTAATTCTTTTTGCAAGTCTACAAATAGATATATGTATAAGTACATTATATTATAAATTGTAGATTTTTCATACGACTTTTGGATACTGCCACTTACCCTTATTCGTGTGCGATAGAATATTGTTATGCAAGTTCTTCACGATAGAAACGTTTTCAACTGTAAGATGGATCAGACCGCGTATTTCCTCGGCCTACATTAACACACTGTGTCTCAATCATTCAGTGAGAATATAAGATATATGATTTCATGATAATTCGATACGTTTATACGTACTTCGTCAAGTAACTCTTTAAGCTTTTTATTTTGAGCTATTTGAAGGTGTACGTCCTGCAAGAATCCTCTGCCAAAAGTACTGCTGTTGCTTCGGCTCTGGAGAAATTAGTGCATTACGTGATAATTCCGAGACTATTCATTTGTGTAAAAATATTTTCGGTAAAAAGGTATATTATATAATAAAAAATATAAATATTTTTAATTAATTATGTGCACATAATATTTTTGTATTGTGTTTTTTAATCATAAGTGAATTTTTAATTACAATGATAAGTTGATTCGGAAGCGAATAGGTTTTTTATTAAAACTTTTATTTGCACACATGATTCATGCGCCAACGTATTGTTCGAGACGATATATTTAGTAACTGATGGTCAAAGTCCTTTCTTTTTCGATACATTTCTAGTAACTACAGAAAAAGTAAAAATACTAACGGCACGCAAATCAGCCATACGATCGCGGACCATGATGAGTATTCCTTTGGAATCGGCATGTAACTGATAATTCTGTGAGTGGAATAAATACAGTATGCTTCGTCTTATCTCTCTTATCAGTGTACTATGAATATCGGGTAAAATCCGTTTTGCCGTTTCGTAGTCGACGGAAAAGTACTTTTGCTACGAGAGCTTCTTCGACTGAAACGTGTGACACGCTTCTAACGTGCACATAGGTAGAAGATACTTTGCATCTGAAATGAAATAGGAAATGGGCACTTAGCAGCTGTGCGTCAGAAGGCCGTGGCAATTATACGTTTCTTTATCTAATTTATTAATTTAGAGAGCGATAGATTATGTTAGTGTTAAAAGATGTCATTTATAAAATTATAATAGTAAAAACAAAGTAATTACAGTTTTTAAAAGCAATTTTTATCATTCAGCATTAATCATTGATTCTTTTTCTTGTGTCTAGAAATCTTTTCTCTTCTTTTTAATATTAAAATTAGTAACGCTCATTTAAAATAGAATTTGATAAAAAAACATTTTTGACACTAACTTAATATTAAAAGTAAGTTTAGATTAGTTTACAATATGAATACTGCCAGATTCTTTTTCGTATATAAAAATATTTATAAATTTATTTATGAGGCACATAAATAATGTGTCCTGAAATAAAATATAAAATAGTTTTAATAAGTTGACATTTGATAAATATTTATTCAAAAATAATTATCTAGAAATTTTCTGGAAAATATTTTGTTCTATATTTTAATTAAATTTAATATTTAAAAACAGTAGAAAGTAATACAAAACAGAAAAGAAAAACTATTTAAAAATATTAAGAGTTATATTAACTTGCTTTTCCATAACAAACTATTTTAATTATTTTTAATTGGTTGAAAAATAAATTTAATTTTATTGATAAAAATATATACGTAATTGTTAATTATTACATTGTCACTTACAATTTGCAATAAATTTAATATTACGATATGAAAAAAAGAACTCGTCAAATAGAATTGTAAAAAAATTTTAAATGATAAACGTAGTTTTTCATTTATTTTGAAACAATTTTAATTTATAACATTCCGAATACTATGTGAACTATTCTGTGATATTTCATAAACCAAACCTGGCTAATTTCATTGTATGTACATGCGTATAAATTATACGCATTATATTATAAGCAAAAAGAAATTAATGATAAACATTAAACAGGAGTACAAATAGTATTAATTTAGCAATAGTTGTATAATATACGCGCATATATGTTTCAAGGAACAATGATCGAAGTTGTTTCATGTAACGAAATATATTTGTAACATATAATTTTATACATTAGAAGTCACCTGCTTTCTTTACAGAGAACTTTATTATTATTTCTTTTGCACTTTTTCGTTAACAATAACGATAACTACATCTAGTGAACTGTGCTGTTTGTTAGGAAGACAGAAGTACTTATTACTTTTCTACAGAGCTAAAATTGTTACAAAATATTTAAATATTATTTTAAAATGTTTAAATATCACTGTGTATTTTAACTTCGATAGAAGTTTATTTTTTAATAACTGAGTAATAATATAAACGATATTTCATGCGTTCAATTACTATAATTTTTTAAAAATTAACCGGTGCGCGTCGATATTCTATTTTATGTATATAATAAAATATTTTAATTTCTAAACAAATGACTTTATCGCCTTGCACATCCCTTACACAGTAGAATAGATAAAAGATCTAGAATTTATATCTGTACCTAAGAATAAGTAATAAGAAAATATTTATCTCAAGGCAAATCAGTCAGTCTTATAAACTCATTAATTTCAATAAATCAACTGATGTTCTTCTTATTAATTATATAATAATCAATATAATTATTTTGTAGACAGACTGCTGATATATATGTATATGAAATTTTCACTGCATGTAATCATAGAGATTACTGCTAATGAGATGAAGTTTATAAAATCTATTAGGGAATTTTCGATTGGACTAGTGCATATATTAAAGCCGTACACTGATTTAATCTGAATGTAAAAAAAACTAAAATGCACATATTTTGAATAAGATGCGTACTTTACCTAATAGCACGATAAAATGTATTGAATATTTCATGGTTTAACCAATTTCCATGTTTATAATAAACATATATCTTTATGTTAATTTGTGTACGACGGCTTTAATGTGCACCAGTACTGAGTGCATCCAATCGAATTCGCTGTATGTGTTATACTGTGGAATATAACAGAATGAAGTAGATTATTTTTTAATGTTCACAACATTCTAACGTCATCTTATATGTCTGACAATAGAAATCTGTATTAAAATATTTTTACCGAAGTTTACAATAGAACAGAATAGTCAATAATAATATCATGATTATGTACACTACGTAATAATGGATCCGTTTGTCTCAATCGTGCGTTTTTATTATTTTCAATACTTAAAAGAAAAGGCTTTGGAGTGAAAAAGGACGATGCAAACAAACAGATCCTAATCACTTCCATAAAAACGGATTCCTGCTTACAATTTTTATTAATATAATCAACTTACTCTTTTTTAACGTATCCGCTGTCATTACTGCATGAAATTAAATTTCTCTTCTCATTGTCACATTTTTCGCGTGCTTATTGTGATCATGAATATCACTTACATAGTACAGAGTAACATATGAAAAAGAATAGCTCTATTTTATTTTCAGTGTCGATAAGGGTTTCTTCATCAGTGCTAAGAAGATATACATATATTATGCTTCGCATTCTTAAAAAAAATACATAACATTCTTTATATAATAATATATACAATAAAATAATAAAAAAAACTTTACATATAACATTCTTTTATCATAATAAAATTATCGATTTTAAAAACAGGCTACTCTTTTTCACATTCCATTTGTGCCTTACATCCTGCTTAAAAATACTGCGATCGTTGAGCCAAGCTCATCGAATAATATCTCGATATGGTAATATCAAGATAAAGGAAGTATCGCTAACAGGATGCGGTTCGCACTCTCACTTTATCCCTCAGGTAATTGGCGACTTGCGTCTGCGAGTGTCGGACGGCCAGTTGAAGTGGCGTAATGCCTTCCTGATTTACGAGTAAAGGATCAGCCCCCGCTCCCACGAGCTGCCTCGCAACTGTCATATGTCCCGTCAAGGCTGCCGCATGTAATGCACTTTCGCCGTTCTGAAATTGTAAAGAAACCCAAAAGTTACTTGCGCATAAGAAATTACACACATAGAATTTACATATAATTATAGATTAAAATTAACTTAAAACTAAATTGACATAAAATAAATAATAGTAATATTTGTGACTCCAAGAATAAGTCTAAGACAAATAAAATGTCTATGTGAGCTTCCACAGATGTTAACACGTTTAAATTATATATTTATAATGTAATAAATATAATTCATAACTAATTGAGATTTACTTACCAAACGAAGTTAAAGTAAACGCAAATTGAGGTCTCTTCGAAAGTCAAATACAACAGTTTTATTGTACCAGTAGTTTGTACTAAAATTTCCGTACTGAAGAGGATCAAAGCCAGAGTCGAAACGTTTGCGTTTGTTTGAACTTTGTTTGGTAAGTATAAAAGATATAAATATATAACTAATGCACTAAAATACACAGAGACTCACACAGGAATTTTACTTTTATAATTAAATTTAAAATTACATACGAATATTTTTGGAGCATTTAAAACTCGTTGATTTTTCTCTGAATCTTACCGGGAGTATACCGAGTGAAGGACGATACTTGAGCAACTCGCCGATGACGGCGGTGTGACCTTTGTGGGCAGCTTTGAAAAGCGGGGTTGCGCCGTCCTGCGAAAGAAAATTGTTCGCGATGACAAGTGTGCAATGTGCATGGCACAATAGTGAGAGCTCACTTTCGGCGATTATGCGACACGCGATCTACGTGAGACTTACGTGTCTCGTGGCGTCGACCTTCGCGCCGGCTCTCAACAACCTCCTGACGACGTGATCGTGTCCCATTTGCGATGCGATCCACAGCGGTGTAGCGCCGTCCGTTCTTACCGCGTCCGTCTTCGCCCCGTGTTCCAGGAGGACTTCCAGAATACGAAGGTGGCCGTTCTGGGCAGCGATAAACAACGCCGTGGCACCGTCCTAAGTATCATCTATATTTCTTAACTTTTTCTCACATACTAATATCGCATTATTACCAAATACAGCAAATTGAGCAACGTCTCTTGCGACTGAAGCGTGTTGATTTAACAGTTTTTAGTAGTAACTTAATCTTCTTAATAAATTGAAGATGTATATCAATAATGAATTAAATAACTGAATTAAGAAATCTCGATATTATTCATAAAGTCAATTTCCCGTAAACATCCCAGTGACCGATATACTCACACAAAATTTATTATTATTAATCTCTAATGCTCTTTTAATGATTACAATTAAATTATAATACTATAGTTTCGAAAAAACATTTGAGATTAATATAAATAAATAAAGTATTGCGTAAATGTCCGAACAATATTATAGGTACATGTCTGCAAGTCCACACAAGGACGTTTACCTTAAATTCAAACTTCTTCAGTCAGATATACTGAGACTAGTATTCATAATTTGTTGTTATATTTAACGTCTTAAATAACGCCTTAAGATATATAAAATTAATCACAGAACTGTATTAGCTTCATTACTTAAAACAATCTTGAGATAAAAACAAATTATGAATACTAATCTCAGTATATCTGACTGAAGAAGTTTGAATATAAGGTAAACGTCTTAATGTATGGACTTGCAGACATGTGCCTATAATATGTTCGGACATTTACACAAGACATTTATTTATCTATATTAATCTATATTATTTATCTATATTAATCTCAAATGTTTTTTCCAAAAATATAGTATTATATTTAATTGTAATCTAAGAATTATAATTGACAAGCTTATTGGAGGCCGGCATTTTAAACGCATCTTTTTACCTTCATATGAGCGTTCGGACTGGCGCCTCTCTCTATTAAGCCTTCCACAACGTCCAGATGACCGTATTGACATGCGACGAAGAGCGGCGTGCCGCCATCCTGAAATCCACGTGGGACACATTAAGCCTGTTCTTCTTGGCTGAACTTCTGCACCAGTTCATCTTCCTTCCACTTCTTTCCTCCTGGAGAGAAAAGGAAGAAAGATGAACTGGTGCAAAAGTTCAGCCAAAAAGAACAGGCCTATTAGCGTTAAAGAGCAGCGAGATCGGGTTACGCACACACACGCGCTAAGATCTCCTCCGGCCTCTCTACTTACTATGCTGCACGAATCCACGATCGCGCCGTGCTCCAAAAGCAAACCCGCGATGTCCATGTATCCGCCCTGGGCGGCGAAGAACAAAGCCGTTGTCCCGGTCTGTGAATGCGAGACAAATGCAAACATTATCATACGGGTACGGATTGAACTGGAAGCTTAAACTCGAGATTATATAAAATTCACCAGAAAATATTATTAGATCGAATATGACATTTTTCACTCATGAGTGTGTTAAATAACTAACTCTAACTACCTGAGAAATATTCGTTCTCTTTCAAAAGTTGAGACGTTCAAGATAAACGAATCATCTCGAACATTCACAAAGTTTAAAGTGAAATATCACGAGGCCCAAAAATTCTTCGCCATATGTAAAATGTAACAGTTTCTATGCAGGACGCCGGAGATAAGCACTTTAAGACGATGAAAGAAGGCGAGAATACATGTTTTATCGAGAAGAGAAAATCCAATTTCTAGATCTACTTCTTGCCTAAATAATGTAAACATTAAATATAAATGTCTGCGTTATTTAAAAAACAAATTCTGATGAAATAGAAGTTTCATAAAATTAAAAGTAGAATTGAACAAAAGTGAATAAATAGTTTTTCCTCTTCTAATAAAAAGAACGAAGCGACTTTTATCACGCAAGGTACATATCGTGGTGCAAACAGCACATGCGTTAGAAATGCACAGAAAATTTGACGTCAGTTGCCACTTATTAATGATATGCAAATGTCACATACGTCCCGCGACCCATCTACAATTTATATCCACGATAAATCGACGTAACATGCGGACGTATAGTCGGCGATTGCGTCGACTGCGTCATTAATAATAATGTCGAATGGCATTTTATTGGCAGATATGAAAGAGAAACGTCGATTTCCTTCGGAATGCGACAGGCATTTGGATACAAACTTCTCTGTACGGTTCACTTAGAAATACGCCCAACTTTCTTCCATCGTTTGCACCTGTATACGTATATCTCTCTATATAACACGAGAAGCTACGATATGTCATGCTTAACGGTAAACTTTAGCGGCGAGAACCGGTCGCACGGAGCGGCCTTGATATTTTGAGCAAATGTCAAATCGAATCTCTTCTGGCGAAAGAGAGAAATAAAAAATTATTATTGCGACGTACGCGATTCAGGAATTTTCCTATTTATTTGTCCAATTTAACACAAATATCGTCATATCAAAATTACTAAAATATCACAATTAATCTGTCGCTAATTAATTTTTTTACATTTATTAATTTATACAAAAATCTGCTAAAAATGTATAATTTTTTTTTTCACAGCATCAACTGGCTATTTTCAATATCGTTATAAAAGATTATCTCATCGGTGTGTTCTTTAGAATTATTAATAAAACTATCGTTAGTACTGAAACTTGGCAGCCGCAAACTATCGATTTCTAGCAACATATAGCGCCGTATTTTACAATACAACGTATGTGTCCTTCACCTGATTAAGATAATATCTCGCATTAAACCGTGATTATCCACTATCCGAATACTGCACGTGTCGTGCTTGAATCGCGTAAATTTCCGAAACTTTTATCGATCGCAGTTTCTGACCATTAGTTACGAGATCTTTAGTCGACGACGAGACAATTAGAATTCAGCGTTACGCGGGAGGATAAATTTTTCTGGACTGTCGGGCGATTTCTATCCTAACGGACGCGCGAAAGAATCGTAAAAGATAAATTGAGAGTGAGAAAGCAGTTAGAACGAAATGTTAGTAAATTGCCAAACTCGTATGGTGCTCTTTAAAGTAAATGCTGCGACGCTCGACACGCTTCCAAGAAGCGATCCAAGAAAGAAAATTGAACCATTCTCTTTCTGACGCATACAACGCAAATACTTAAGAGATTGCGGAATTTTTTTAAGTACATTTACCATAATAGTGCAAATTATACTTTCAAATTCCTCGTCGCGTGGAACATAAAGATCTCTCTCTCTCTCTCTCTCTCTCTCTCTCTCTCTCTGTCATTGTTAGAGATCTCTTTGCAAGTTCTTTCAAGAATGACATGCCTGAAGAATTGTAATGAGATCAAAAAGACTCCAGTACTATCCAAATCTTTAGAAAGAAGAATAATACAAACTGCGCGCAACTGACAGTTCGTTTTCTCGATACTTCATTTTACTATAAATTTAATTCCTGATTTAATTCTAAATTATAAATATATTGACTTCTCAATCGCGTGAAATATTTTAAAACTTTTCTTCTCATATACTGAGTTAAAAAGTTTATTATTTTTTATTTATCCATGTGTATCAAAATGCAAATCAATTCATTTCTGTAGTTAATTTCAAAATAAACAACTACATTAAAAATAAATATCTACAAAAGAATAATTTTAAATAAATATCTATTAAAGTATGCACTTAGTAAAACAATTATTATATTAAATTTAGTTTAGTTATAATAAATTAAATTTGAGTCAAATTTAATAATTTTCTTGAGTTAAATTGTTTAACTTCCTTGTTTTAGTTAAATTAACAGAATATTGAGTAAGAACAGTGGTAACCTAAAGAAATAATTAAAAATAAAATTGAATATAATTTGTTATTATTTAACAGTGCAGCGTCGCTAAGCGAGCAATTCACTGAACCCGATACAAGTAAAATGCACTTTCACTACCATAAAAGCTCCAGTCAAGGGAGCGGCGAACTCGTAGTTTTATCCGTTATGTATCCCGCCGTTCCACACCCTGACGCGATCATATCTTCGAAAGGTATAACGCAAATTAATTCTTCGATATTACTTCCGGGGAAAAGAGACGACGAGAAAGACCGGAAACTTTACGCTTCCGTTTTCGATCGTTCTACTACCTCCTCCTTTTTTCTTCCTCCTTTTTTTTTTAATTCCGCTCTTCCCCATTTGCAATACGTGGCGAACCTTATTCTCTTTTTTGCAACTTGCAGCGTATCTCTCTGCTGATGCACACGCCATGGAGTTACGTGTGCCACGATGCGTGACGAGCGAAGCGAGGACATAATACTTATACCTATCCATTACCAAACCGCAGAAATTCTATAACGTAACGATCAACCTGTCACGTATGGTCCACACTGTGCTGCCGATCATTTCCCTTCGCTCTCGGTGTGATCATGCACATAAGGAAACACGCATATAGAAATCCGATCTGTCCAAGATCAAATGCCCGACACGTATTCATCAGAGACTACCGAGGAAGCAATCTGAGTAGCTCTCGAAACTAGATCCAAATAGAGGCATTTTTCAGAAAAAAATTCGTTTATTTCGCTAAATGTGAAAAATCTTCGAGTGTTGCGAACGACGAATGTCTTAATTAAATACAATTTTGTAAACAAATATGCACTGAGGAGCAAGATTCTTTTATCTCTTTAGTCTTCCTAATCGTAAAATCTACGCTTCCGTGAGTTTCGTACGAATAACGTAAACGTTTGCGAAATATCGACAGAAATTTAATATCGTAATATCGATGGATAGATAAAAAGGTTAATGGAATTTGAGGATACAAATTGAAGATCTGATCGTAATCCAGAGATGTCTGGATCAGTCACGTGCATAGCGGTACTACACTTACGGATGCAAATCCCACCGATTGAACATCGGTCTCAAGTAGGACAACAAAAGGTCAGTTATTTTTGTTTGGCAAGCGCACGGAGCTGATTTTAATTAACTTACCGAAAAAAAAAAAAAAACGGTCAAATGATAATTAGCATAGAATAAGCACGCGATACTTTTACGTATGTATTGTATTAAATAAGAAATCGATTCGCATTGAATAAACTTAATTGAGGCTGTCGCTCAAATTAATGCTCATTCTGTGACGAGAATGTCGCAGCTATATAAGATTTAATTTATCGGAGGCTGAGTCGGGATGACCCGACAGGAGTCATTCACCCTCGTCGACGTTGTTCATTTTTAGACGATCGATAATCACGGGTAGAATTTTTAGACGATACTATCTATATTGAGAGAAAAATCTCGTCTTTTAAATTCTTATTTCCGCGTTCAAGATTTTGTATATTGTTATATCTCATTCATGAAAATCAAGACTGTAATTAACATCGGAGTTAAAAAAAAAAATTACAGATCTGTGTTAATGAATTATAATGAGTTCGTTGGAAAATATTAATACTCTATATTAAATTTATAGTAATGCTTTCTCGATAAATTCTACTATCTATTTATAAACAGATAAAAGAATTATAAAAAAACACACTTCCTTTCAGCACGAACTAAAGAGAAGAGATGAAAAATATTATCTATATATCCTGCACTTACTAATGTTTCTATAAATAAATATCTATAGCTGTCATGCCACGTGCGATTTTCCTATATGATGATACCCGCGATAGTATGAATAACACGTTTAAATAGATTGTAGACACACTGTGTCAGCGATAATTCCTGAACTTCCACGTTACCGTCGTTGCGTGTTTTGCACAGGCACTCTGCTATTAAGAGGCACATTAGAATCACGCGAACTTACACGCACGAACGTTATGGCACAAGCTCACGGTATGCTCAGGCAACCTTGAAATATTGTACCAGTCTTTCTCGTTTTTCTCTCGTGCAATTCGTTTCTCACCTCGAGATATTTATTCAAGTCGTTAAATGTTCCATCAGGTCACCATTCCAAAATCCATACGGCGCTAAAATGCCATCGGTGTGGTTTATCTAGATTTGAAATACACGAGTTTCCCTCCTTAAAATTATCGCTTTACGCCATAATCATGATTACTTGGAGATTTATTAATCGATTGCTACGCGTACCGATAAATTGATATGGAAAGCGAAATGATGAGATACAATTATCCCCGTAAGTAACGGTCTCGTGATCTTGAGGCATTAATTTAAAGAGAATCGCATTTTCCAGTCCGTGAAAATGACCCTGAATCCACCGATTGCGTAAGATGACGAACGTGTTTAACGGGTTCTTTATAAAGGTTTGCGTAATTTTACGCCGAACGTGACGCCATCATCATTTATGTTACGCTCAATCTTGGAGGAAGAGCACTACTGTATGATCAGCTCGATTGTCGAACGTTACACATTCCTATTTCCGAACACGTTTACTCATCGTGTAACATTCTTTCTCTCTTTTCTAACAGTGATCATATCCGTCAGAAAATTGGCAATTATTATTTCGAATATATTTTGCCAATCAATATTTTTTTTTTATTAATATATGTTCAATTTTTTTATTATATAAAAAGTAAGATGGAAAGAATCGAAACTATATGTGACTTCTGAAACATTCATATTCAAATTTTTACATTTTTCAGTTTTATAAACTGCGTGCCAATTCATACTTGAAACGCAAACTGAAGCTCAAATATTAATATCTCACATTAGATTAATAATCGTCAATTTAATAACGATGCTAATAAGCATCTTAAAAAGTATTAATAATTAAAACAAAAATTATTAATAGTATTAATATTAAAAGGAATCAACTTCATCGTGATTTTTACTCTCTTCAAATTTTGTTTTTTTCATTTTTCGAGACATATAACGGAACACCAGTTCATCCAACTCTGGCAATCTTGTCATCAATTTGCATACAATGCCGCAATTCTAGATGACACGAGACACCGAGGAAGAAAGAGGGAAGCGTGGGCATGATGATAAATCCTCTTGAGGCATTAAAAAAGGGATGCCCGACAGCTTCCTGATTCACCGCGTGACATGCTACACGATAGGCTTTTTATGTCTCGCTGAGATGCCGCGTTTTAAAAGTGACAGACGATACTCCAGGAAGTTCTCAAAAATTCTATTTCGAGATATCATGATACTCGGAACGAAGCATCTAAAGATAGGATCCCTAATAAGGTCGCCAAGTCAAAATCGTTTTATAAAATCTCCGATAAATGTGAAAACTCATTTTCCTTTCAGAAACACACTTTTTAAATATACACGACTGAAAATGGGTTAAAAACGGAGCTTTTTATAAATTAAGATTTTAAGAATATAAATAAAAATCTTATTTGATTATCAAATTCTATATTAATGAATTATTAATGTCGTGAAATTTATAGTTATCAGAATATATATTATAAAATATAAGAAATCATGAAAAATAATGATGTCTTCATTGCGGAGAAACTATTTCAGGATTTGTTAGGAACGTTTCCTGAAGCTATTATTACGAAGTGACTATTATGATACATTTCGCATACTCTATTACATATCCTTTAATCGAACATAATTAAACAATTGAGATCTGTTTTATGGCGGCGATTAAATTGCAATCGGTAGATGATCTCACGACTGTAATACTCGATGCCGGTTTTACCACGGCTATTAATGTTAATGTCTAAAAGAGAAATAAATAAAATAACGTACAATTCTAAAGACGTATAATAATACATCTTTCTACCTTCTTTCTGAGAATTAAACGTAAGAAACGTAATAACGCACGTATAGAAAAAAAATAAAACAACGATTACATACATATAATTAATGTATTATTCATACTTCGTTATAACTGTTTTACGGTCGTGGTTACGATTATAAACGATATTTTGTGACGATTAAAAAGAGTTAAGTTACACGCTACGTTACTCGATGATATTTTCGCAGATAACGATAAGTCCGCGTACACCAAGTAATAGCGAATTCGATTGAACGCAATGTGCAATAATACACATCAAAGTCGTAGAAACTCATGTAAAAATGTAAAAATGTTTTGTTAAAGTATTTAAAAATTTAGCTAGAGACAGATCTGAAAATAATTATGTAGGGTGCTCAAACTAGAATGTTAAAACTTTTTGCAGCATTGCTCATGCTTGAAATCGTTACATAATTATTTAGGTGGTCAACAAAATTATTTTCAATATTTAGTTAAATTTTTAGATACTTCAACAAAAATACTTCGTTTTTTCCGTATAAAAAAGGAACAAATCGCGAAATCTTCAATATACGTTATTATGCTGTTAGATAAAATATGTATATATTTCATAATTTAAATTATTCACATTTAACAGTTATATTCAAATTAAATCAATGTACAACGATTTTAATATGCAGCAGTGAGTACTAGTACATTTCAAATTCACTTCGATTTATAAAAAAATTCTCAAAATATCGCTTATCTCATCGATGACCACCTTACACGAGCTTATTAGTAAGAGATAAACTATACGACACAGAGATAAAAATCCGATAACTTTCTTACTTATATATAGTTGCTTTGCGAGCAAGTAAAAATTGAAAAATTAAACAATGTCAAATTGATCTCTTGTACAATATATATACTTAAGCATTACTTCTCTTCAATATATAAATAAAAGCAAAGGCTATCTTCTAATTTAACGTCTTGTAATACGCTAATATAGCGGTATACTAAGGATTTTTAGCCATTAATTAACGTGGGCGCGCACGAGTTGTCTCTGTTATTACCATTAGGCTTTCATTCATTCCACGAGGATATCATTCATTTACGGATACACTCGATCTTTGACACAGGTCACTTTGACAGAACTTACCAGTCTTTTGGCATTGGGATCCGCCCCTTGATGCAACAGCTCGGTTACAGCGTCCATGCGGCCACCAGCAGCAGCTAATATCAAAGGTGTCGTGCCGTCCTGAAAGAAAACCGACCTCGTTTGCAAAACTTCGCTCCGACGATTTAATTAAACGCGAAACTTTCCCGCCGGTGAACGCTAAACGCTGGCGAATGTATGCCGGTGAATATTTTCTAATCAATCCTCTTGCGAGCTATTAAGATTCGCGCTAAATGTCCTAATGATTAAAAGACCACTAGTGCAATTAGCACACTTGTATTCCAGTTTGCCACATATGGATCAAACTGTCCCAAGCAAAGAATTTATATGTATGTATTTTACAAATACTTTATCTTTTTATAATTTAAAAATCTAATTTACAACGATTAAGGAAAATGTAAACTTTAATTATTTTGTATATTCAAAACTATAAACATACATATAGTCACAGTATCTCGATAAAAAGTAACGATTTGCGCATAAAATTGTTACCAATAGGTGCTTTCCATTTAGTGACACAAGTCGATACAAACATCGTTCTATTTTTCTTTATATTTAAAGAGTAACAATGATAGTATGACACTTGTGTCGACTTGTGTCACTGAATATCTAAAAATATCGACAAGTAATACAAAGTTTTGTAAAATGTTGATCGGTATTTCTAATAGAAAAGACTCGAAGTATTATTAATGAATTTCCTTGTTGACTAAACAAACATATGGTGATTTGATTCAACCCTGACACTGATACAATTCCACGTAGATGAGTTTGCAAAAATATAGACGTCAATAAAACGTGTTCGGTTTCCCAAGTTCGAAAAGTGGTACGATTAGTGTGTTCGCGTTGATCTAATAAACCACTTTCAAGACACGCAGAGAAGAGTAACGTTACTCGTGCTGCTCGCTCCTTGTCATTTGCATAATGAGTCGACAGCGAAGAGAGAAAATAGTCGGTAAATCGCGCTTTTGCCGCGATATCGTTGATCTATCGCGAGACTATTGTAATCAGGAACGTGAGCTCCTGTCTAATCGATTTCCGACAGCAATCTCACGCGATGATCTTATTGTCTTGAGCTGTGATGAACCGACTGAATGAACCGATTTCAACTGGTAAAACTGATCTAATCGAATATCGTATTTCAGGAAGGCACAGATTAATATTATAATGTTCGTGTAAATCGAAACATTTTCTTTTCACTCCAAATTCTCACGAACAGTTAATGTTCAGCTGCTGCGAAGGTCTCCCAATCGTTTCTGAAAAATCGTGTCTGAGAAATGTCCACGATAACGAGATCTTACTTCGGAAACTGAGGGTATTGCACGGTACTGACCTTGTCCTTGCAATCAACGTGAACGCGTCCGGAATCCAATAAAACACGAAGACGCTTGGCGTCCCCGCGTGCCGCCGCCAGATGCAGCTCCACGTCCCAAGGCGACTCTTTCTGAAAAAGCGAGAACCAAAGGTAACGAGTTAATAAAACGCTAATTAATTTCTAATTTCTTGATTAATTCAAGGTTACGAATCGGAGCGATGTAAACATGAGAAAATGTTAAGAACAAAAGTTTGAAGAATTTATTGGAATTATTATTAAAATCATGACAATATAAAACTGGAAGGTTCGATACAGGAAAATAGGGAAATCTACATTTTTCGAAATTTTTTCACTTTAAAAATCTTTTTACAGTGGAAATTAATTAAAAAAGTTACATATATTAATAAATGACAAAATGATTCTGAAACTATAAAAATTAAATTTGATTAATTTTGAATAATTCCAATTTTTTACAATCTTTTTAGATTTTTAGAGAATTTGACTTCTTTTTTAATTTTCATGTTTTTATACATATATAAAATTAATAAATTCGAAATTAATATAATATAATACAATAAAAATATAATATTCAAATTATTATAAAATAAATCGCTGTGTTGGGGCTCTTCAATTACCGCTTAGAATATTTTCGAAGAATATTTTCATATACATATATCTAAGTTTTCTTTAAATAATGTGTGAAAAAACATTTCTATATCGGAGTTCGAATATATGAGCCGTGTATTGGACAAGTAATGGAATATGAATGTAACTGAATATATGGATGAGATTCATCAGATTGTTGGAACCATCTAAAAGCTCGTTAAATATTTTTAGCGCTTTCATAATCTCAGAGATATGCTCGAGGTTGTCATTGGGATCGATATTTCTCGGGATCGTAAATCCGGCGGTTTTCATTTCTCTCGTTTATGACTTCTAACGGTGAACCCATCGGCGCAAATGTTATCCAGCGTGAGTATCGTCGATCTTTCGCCGTGATGATGATCGAAATAATACGTCGACCTTCGCTTTCGAGTGTTTATGGAGTGATCCGACTTGCGGTGCAAACACGTTCTTGCATGGAGAGAGAAAACATCCCGAGTGACTTCTCGGGGAATAAACGTCTGTGTCCTCGGCGCGTCGCTCCTGCGGATTTATGTCTGAACGGAACTCGCACTTCGAAATATTTCGAAAGATTCCGACGAAGATTCGGACGAGGAAGAAAAATAGGATTGTAGGCCCCCGATATCTGTAACTTTGTACCCGTTAACCTGTAGTTTACTGATTCCGGACACTCGTCACGGATCGCAAATGTAAAATTGCAAAACACGTCGGGCTGTATGCTCAATGGTGCGGAAAAATCTTATTACAGGATTTTGCAGCGAGTCTGTAGCACAGCAAAGAATGTCTCTTTCGAATATGTAGAACACGAGAAATAAATCTCGTATCAACGAAAGTTTTAGCCTTGTAATTTTTGCGATGTTAAAGGATAATTATTAAATTACAAAAATTATTAGAAAGTTATTGAATATAATTATAAAACTTATTAAAAGATCATTTTTGTGTTATAAAATTCAAAATTATAAGATTAAATAATATAATTATGGCACTAAAATTTAGCATTGATCATTACATCTAATTGCAAGTGAAATATTTTCATCATTGAATTGTTCAAATTTCGCATACATTAAACTGCTAGCTGTTTTTTTATCCAAGCAAAATTTTCCCCACTCGATAAAAAGATATCCTAATTGTATTCTATAATAATTTATAAATGTATAATTTAAACATAACATCATAATTGTATTCGGAGCACATCAACTTTGAGAGAAAATATGTAACCTGTTGAAATGAGTCATTAAGTAAAATTATTTCATGTTTTATTATGAATTCCTAATCATCAGTTAAATCAGTTTTGAAATTCAAATTAATACATGTACCTACTTTATTGTGTGTCTAAAAATTTCACATCTCTGCATTGAATAGATGTGTTCAGCAGCAATAATTTCTAAACGTGGCTTTCGCGGAGCTGCACTTTTTTCCGCAATCTCGACCGTAATTAGCGCGCACGGCCGACAATTAAAGCTTTAATTAAAATATCAAAACGATGCATCTACCAAGAATAACACTCATGTCGTTATTTGCGTCTTTTCTTCCAGTTATACTTACATTTGTATTTAACGTTGTAATGTTCTAATATTGAAACTTCAAATATTATATTGTCATTATTAATTATTACTGTCGAAATTACCTAATTTCATAACTGCCTATTTAACAAGTATTACAATATTTTTTCGATTTTCTATACGCAGTTATGAAAATCTAAAATTGTAAATAGAAGTCTTTCTTGAATATTTCAAACGTAACATAAAAATTATACACGTGTAATTAAATCGTTATATTAATTCTATATACGTCGAAAAATAAATTACAACAAGAGGCTGTGGCGCAGGTTTCTCGATCATCGCGGATTTATCAACCAGTTTTAACAGCCTGATTCGAGCAGTCTGGTGTAAAAAATCTTACGTAACGCAGATAGGGAAAATATGATGAACAAGCTATTAAGCATACCCCGCCGACGTCGGCAACGCGACCGGCTCTAGAGCCGACTCTACATACTGTTCGATATTATATAATGCGTGTCACGAACAATATCACGCTGATAATGTCTGTTTACAGTACATAAACTCAAGTACGTTGAAATTGTGATAATTACGCGATTATTGTCAGCGGATTATTGCCGTACAGCGCCGCGTATTCCAGCTTGATCGATCTAGATTCTAGGAGGTCAATTCAGTCAATGATGTATCTTGAAATGAGGTGAAAATTACAAAGTTAAACAAATTTTGTTTTTAAATGTTTTTTCATGCACACGTTTATTATTCTAAACACTGAGAATAACCTAATAATAGAGGTCGAAATGTTTGCATTTAAATTATACAGGTATATATTTTAATACTCAGATAATAGAATAATTTTTCGTAAAAAGAACCAGTGTTAGTTTTTATGCCTCTTTTATTTGATAATTCGATTTATTCATAAAGACTTTAATCATTTGAATTTGAACAAATTTACTAGGGTTAAATCAAACGTTCAGTAGATTTTGCAATTATTGCAAAATTCTTTCTGAATATGATTGTGATTTATATATTTAGATCCAGTGAAGAACCAAGAGCAAGCTCAATCATGTTAAGAATCATCTTATAACAGTTGCAAAGCTTTTTCTGCTAAATGCAGTCAATGAAATCATGATAAGACTAAGTGAACCACTTTGAAAGATGCGCAGTTGTTTAAAGTAATGACGACATTTATGACCAATCAGAAATTGGTCTCAATTTTAAAAGCCAATATATCATAATCAGAAATTTGTTCCAAATTAAATTCAGCTGTCATTATGTGCAATGTTACAACTGGTTTTCTTATATCATGAATGAAATTAAAAATATTTTAGTAAATTTGCTCACTTTTGTAATTTTTACCTTCTTTCAAAATTTACAATCGGCTCCCAAATAAAAAAACTGCCAATCGACTGTGATAGCTTCGCGGTCAGTTTTCTACCGAAATGTCCGAATCAGCAGGCACGACAAAGCTAGCTCTTCGCCTTCCGGTTTTTAATCGTGCTCGCGCAGGTGCATCTATTCATTGTCGCGAACTAGAAATAACACGCGCTATAACTATATAGAAATAAGACGTATGTGTATTTCTTGTTGCGCTTTTAATACGCGACCTTCAAGTTTTTCGTTTGTTAAATACGCAAATCATGCTCGACGTCGCGTCGTGACTTCCAACAGTCGAAAGGAAAAAAATAATATATCAAGAGCCGATCGAGATAAGAGCTGTGTTTTTTCGATCTCCCGAAAGAGAAGACAATTGATTCGTCGGAGATAAAAGCACAGCAACGGTAGAACATCCGCGAGTAAATAAATTGTACAGAAAGCTTCATATAAACGATATTCCAAAATTCACAGCCAGTTCTGAAAATACTTACAGTTTATGTTATGTGCATTACAAAATTTTCATATACACTGAAAAAATTCCTAAATTTAATATTTTCTTGAATAGGATTAATATCCCAATTTCTTCACTTCCATATAAGTTGCGGATAATCTTATCCAGGAGATATCTCCATTGTAATCTGGGAGATATCTCTTTAACAAAGTTATCTAGAAGTGAAAAAATTGGGCATAAGTAAACATCTTCTTATTCTCATTTTCTTATTGCAAATAAATATTTACTTAATATTATTCAAGAAAATATCACTTAGAGTTAGAACATTTTTTTCAATGTGCAGTTATTTTTTCAGCATCAGTTACCTTTTATAAAATAACTTTCCCAACCCTAAATTTTTTAAACACTGAAAATGAATTTTGAAATACAACCACAATAAACATTATTAAGTCTTTATCTATACAATTATTTTTCGTAAATAAGCGAAGATCAAATACTTTTGCGTATTTCTTCAATTTCATCTAATTGTCTAACATGAATCAAAGAATATACTTGAAGAAGTTTATAAATAAAAATATAGCTTATCGATTATTGTGTATAGATTCGTACTCGATGAATTATAAATAAACTATCGCAACGCATTATGTCGAATACAATTTATCATCAAGTTAAATTTAATAATAACAATTTGACACGGGCTACAAAGATCCTGTCCACAAAGTAACGAATTTGATTGAGCAAATTGAATAAGTAAATATTTATAAATTAATAAATAACATTATTATTTATTCTATATGTAAATCGCCGAGAGAACGAACGTTTCACAGTAAAAAATATCAATTTAACCAAATCTCAACTTTATACGTTACTTTCCAAAAAGAAGCTGCTCTTAATTTCGAACGATACGAGAGGGTGGCGAAGCGTGTTATTTTATTTGATCCTCTAACAGCACAATTGTGCTATAGCTACAAAATTACACAACAATGACACGAGTGTCCCTTCAAAAGTCTATCGAATCTAGAGGAACAAAAGACAACGTCCAGGAAGACTGGGGGAGGAATACATTTCTCGTGGGGGAGGATACATCCGCGCTGAATCTCGGCGTTTCTCCGTGCACTCACCTTCATGGACATGTTGAACCTCTGCCGTGCGTATCCCGATCAATTATTCGTTCAGTCCTGCCGAAGCGCATCGCACATCCCGTCGTCGCCGAGCGAGCGTTCGTGCGACATACAATCACCGTCGATCCATCCAGCGCGAGGCGCGCTTCGCTACTGAACGTGAGCCACTAAACGCGGCTCGTTTTGAAGCACCGCTCTCGCCAGGGTGTTCCGCCCGTACGCGCGCGACGGCCGGTAAGCGTCATCATCGTCGAGTCGTCGGTCGGACGAATCGCGTACAAACATATAGCACGTAGTCGCGAACAATTGCGAATAGACGGGGCGCGCGATGTCGACGGATCGTCGCGAGAGCATCGGATGAGTGAAAGAGGGGCGGAGGAGGGGAGAGGGGAAGGGGGAGAGGTGCACTGCGAGCCTGCGATAGAACGAGAAGTGTACTACAGTAATCTCCAGGATCGTCTCACCTTGCGCATGCGTGATGTCGAACTGTTTTTAAGCGAAATGGCGAATAAGAAATTATTTTGTTCGCGTTGCTTTGAAATTCCCAAAAAGTTTGTACCTAAAACGAGATTAAATAGATATTTGAAAAAAGAAAGCGGAGATTCTGAATGCAAAAAGTAGCAGCAACGTATAGTAGATATATTATAGATCTATAACATCACCGACAAGATACTATTAAAGACCGACATCCTTGTGGGAGTTTGCGTCCTTGTGAATATTGAAGTGATTAAGAGTTAAAAACTATAATTGTACTTATTAAATATATATTGTACTTATTTTATGATTTATTAGTTTAATAGACGTATTTATACATTTAGAACTCAATGATACTCGATTTTTCTTTAAAATTGGGATTTTTATTGTTATCGTCAAAGTTTGATTATTAAGAGATGATAACTGCAGAGAAAAAAATTGCAATTTTTCTACCATATATAGGATATTACAGCTTTACAAGTATTTATCTACGAAACGTTTATGTAATAAAAAATCATGAATTTAATAATGTATAATATAAGCTATATATTTATGTTAATAATAGTAAATTTATATCAATTGTCGATAATGTCAGCGTTCTTCAATTACCTCCGGGTCCTTTTTATACCGCCGAAAATTTGCCCAGGATTAACGGTCTTTAATAGTATCTCGTCGGTGACAATATACATATATTGCATATAAGTATCGAGATGAATTTCAAATTTGATTACAGATTCAAATAACAGAACGCGAGATAATTTAATAATTTTCAAAATATTGTAAGATAGGTTATATGTATTTAATATCAAAACCGATATATGTTCCTCTCTCTCTTCGACTGTAATTACGATATACGTGTAGATAAATTAATTTTTTTGTAAAATAAAAATTTTATAACAAAATTAATAAAACTATATAGTAATAAATATTTATTCGAAAAATATATTATCACTGCGCGTCCGTGCAATTCTTTATAAATACAGAAAGTGCAGTATAGTTAACAAGGAACAGATTGTTCAGACTTCAGATTGTTTCTATTTGACGACATAGCCGCAGAGTTCGGGTGCTATTTCATTTGTGCGTACGAGAAATGCAGGAGAGAGAAGTCCTCGGATCTCTCTATTCTATAGCCAATCAACAGGCTTGAAAAATTTGTCGTAGACAAAAACGCACAAATGAAATATCACTCTTCCATGTTCCATCGTTCCATATCCAATTCCACATTCCATTCCAGTCCTTTCATTCCGCAGCCTCTTCGAGCGATCGACGTGCAAATTGTAAGTATGACAAGTATTTACTAAAGAATTAATGCTGCCGCATTCTGCTTGCCTAAATAGCACACTAATCTACTGTTTTACAGTGTTATTGCAGCTATAAAGAAAAATGGAGAACGACACGGGTACCCTGGTCGACTTGTACATCCCTCGAAAATGGTAAGACGCAAACACACGTGGGTTATAAATAATTCTCACTTTTATAATAATTCAAACTTTTCACCGAACGCGAACGAGAATTTTGTGTCTAGATGATCAATCAAATTCGATACGCAGATTTTTTTATTCAGTGAGCTTGACTGTAGCGTAGGCGATAAATAAGCAGCGATTTGCAAGTGAGGTTAGGTGACTCCATACAAATCTATGGGTCTATTCTTTGTGGCTGAATTGTGTACACTTGTGCATACTTAAAGGCTCAATCTTTTATTTTCTGAATAACATGTGGATAGATTTGTTAAATTCCCTAGTTTTTGATACATATTTCTTTTTAAAAATAGACACCCAGGTCTTATAAATCTATTTTAGCCATGGATCAACTTCTTTCATTTGTTTGATTCTTGTGATCTTATTTGAAATAAAATTATATATATATATATATATAGATAGAAAAATTTTAAGAAGATGCACAAGACGTATCTACATTTCTGGAAAGAATAGATTTAAATCTATTCTGATTTTTTTTATTGTAGTTCGGCGAGTAATCGCATCATCCACGCCAAAGATCATGCATCTATACAGCTGACTCTGGCCGACGTTGACCCAGAAACAGGTCGCATGACCGATACTCACAAGATGTATGCAATCTGTGGAGCAATTCGTCGAATGGTAGGTTTAATTAAGTTTTATATATATATATATACTGATTTATATAATTAATTCCTTAAAATATTATATATATTTTTTTAATACAAAATTGTACTATTTAATTAACATAATATTTCTACAATAAATTTTGACATTGTCAATATTGTAATATAAATTTGTATTAGTCTCATAAAATCTTGTCCTAATTTTATGTTTATAGGGAGAATCCGATGATTGTATCGTAAGATTGACGAAGAACGATGGATTATTATCTAAAAACTTTTAATCTAAGTTATATGATAAATTTCCAATAAATTAAAAAAATATAAAACAGATTTGATTATTTTTTTTAACTTACCATAATTCTATTTATACATAGTATTACATTAATTTATTACATAGACAATAATTTGAAAAATTTATTCCTGTCAGTGATACATCAAAAATAGAAAAATTTAATTAAAGGGATAAAATTAATATAAATTTTCCTTTGATTGAGTATACTATTATTTATTGTTTAATAAATGTTTAAGTTAATTAGTTATTTTAATTTATTTTTATTTTTTTTTTTAAATAAATGTATAATAGAAAAAACTTTACTGCGTATATTTTAATAGACATGAATTAATTAAAAATTGCTTTTTTTACCTTTGAATTTGAGAAGATTGATTCTCCATTGTGTTAATTTGTGTAATTTTAATGTTAATCATCACACGATAGAGGAAAAAAGAAATAAACATCACAGAAAACATCTATCTTATTTTAATTATATAAATTGAAATTAATTAAATAAATTGATTAATAAATAACGATATTTAAAAAATGAGTTACCTTTATTAATAAACATATCCACATGTAGATTTGCATTGTACAATAGTATACAACTTGTACTATCGATTTTATATTACATGTCGTAATATCGAAAATGTTAAATGTATATATTTAATATCCTAATAGTAATCATAGAAAGAAATAAAAAATACTTAATCAATATTAAAGTCTAAAAATCTTTGCTTTCGGAATAAATTTGTATTATTTATTTCAATAACGCAAATAAGTATTTATTGTTATTAATAATACTGGTGTATTCCATATTTTTCACTTATTAATAAAAATCAAAAAATCAGATTTCTAGGATTTTGATGCGCTTTTTTTTAGGCTGTTCTTGAGTGAAAAAAAATGTGTCCGTAATTTCGAAGAAATCTTTTTTAAATAATTATTGTAATAATTGAAAAACTTATTGTATAAATTTAAAATATCATTTTTATAAATTTTATTTTCATTTTTATAAAATTTTTTTAGACTAACATGCATCTATGTTAAATCAATATTGATATACGTTTACGTCAATCTCATATGAAAAGAATACATTTCTTTTTAACACAAATTTGTAAAAATGATATGATTTCCCTTTATTTACCTAAATTTTAATACGTTAAAATATTTTCGTACAAATTAATTTAGAATTATACTAATGATTTTACTGAAAGTTGGTTAATTGATCGATAGCATCTCATTTTAACACACGTACATTATTTTGCAAAAGTACATTATTTTGCATTATTATGTCTACAAAAATGATATAATGATATATTAATGTTATATAAAACAAATACTAATAGCCTAGATTTCCTGAGATTGTCTTCCTGGAACGTCGTTCATGGAACGTTCACATATCTTTTGAACGTTCTATAAACATCTTGTAAAGTATGCTATTATAAGGTACATGCTTTATATAACTTATGGTATACATTACATTTATAAGAAAGATAATATTTAATTTGTACGATTTAGGTATTATGATACTCGCTTAATAGAGAGTTGTTTTAAAGTTGTTTCTCTTTCTGACAAATCTTTGCAGTCAAATATGGAGGTGCTACTTGTTTGTATACTTCGATAGTCATACCGTAACTCATAATGTTGTTTAAATATTCAGTTTATTGACATTTAGATGAATCTGTAAAAAATGATAAATATATGAACATACATATATATCTTGGTAAAATTAATTTTGAAAAATATTTTAATAACACTAATTATTAAAGTACTTTCAGGTATGTAATAATACATTAGCAGCGGTCCTAATTCTTGATCTTTCTAAGATTAAGTAAGAGTTAAAAAATGAAATCTCCGATTTCTATTACATTTAATATGTAATATTATTGTAAAATTCGCAAAATGATAGATCAAGAATCTTCGATTTAATTTAACTTATATTATTTGGCTAGAAGTGTTATTCTTATTATTAGACACTCCGTATAATTCATAAAATTTATCTTTATGTGATATAAACAAAAAGAATAATTACCAATATTATCGCTTGTTTATTTTTTCTTTTGTTTGGCTGGCGGTGATTTCGAAATATCTGACTCAGACGGACTCTGCACTGAAGTACTTTGTCGTTCTCCACTTTGTCTTGATGGCAGAGCAAAGTTGACCATATACTTACAATCAGTCCCAGCGTCTATCGAAATATTCGATCCACTTTGTTCTGATGGTTCGGTTATAGCGTCTGTCGAAGTACTCGATTCAATTTGTTCTTGTAGTTTAATTATAGCGTCTTTCGAAACTCTCGATCCAAGACTGTTTTTGTACATTATTCAAAAATACAAATTATTACGTAATATTTAAAAAATAAAAAATGTGATAAAATATTAAATATTTGAAACTATAAGCATGCACGGTTAATCACACAACGAGAATAGGTTAAAATTGATTGAAATGAATTCAGATTTTCAGAAGTAAGCATTTATGAACATTGACATCAATCATTTTTAATTCATTTATAGAAATTGCATGAAGTATATTCCTATCGCTTTTAATTTAAAAATATCAGCTTTTTTTAAGTGCATCGTGAATACTGCTCAAATCTAAATGCAGTTTTTCACTCCGATTGAATCGAGTTGAATCCAATTGAATTCAGATAGATAAAAAATATTCTGATTATATCAACAAATTTTGTTAAACAAGTTTTATTTAATAGTGAGAATTTTTGTTTTGTATCAGCTTAAAACACATTCCATACCAATGTTATTTATTATGCTGTGTGAAGCACCAATAAACGCGGTATTGAATGGTCTATTTATAATGGTAATTACTGAAATTGTTATGTGTGCGTACGCGTGTATGTGTAGTATATGAATGTACGCGTGTTTTATTGCAATAAACATATATATATA